CCCCAAAACCCCAAAACCCCAAAACCCCAAAACCCCAAAACCCCAAAACCCCAATTTTATTTCTTAGAATTGAAATTTATTTTGCACAAAATGTCAAAGCCTAGTGATAAATATCAGAAGAAAGATTCTATTGGAATAGATTCTCTTCAAAGTAAAAAGACATTCCAAACCTCTAACGAACCAACTGAATCGATGGAAAGTAGGATCAAAGAGCTTAAGAGGAGCCTAACAAATGTTAAGACCCAGAAAAAAGAGTGGTACAAAAACCACAATGGAGGGCTTAGAGTGCCCAAGACCAACAGGCTTGATTGGAAAGAAGTTAATAGCTTCCAGTCAGCCCTCCAGCCTTTGAGAGGTAAATAAGAGAGAGGCGCCATTTAATAAGAAAAAGAATCGAAACAATAGCAAAAACCATAATACTATTAAAGAGCTGCCAGAAGAGGTAAGTTCAATTTTTTAATTAGTTTTTAACAAAATGTAGAAGTCTGATATAAACAGAAATGATTTACCAGAGTAAGCCTTTCTAGAGTAAACACTATAGAGGTCCAACCATCAGACTCAAGAAATCCTTTAAAAAACAAGTGAACACAGGGCCAATCTCTAAGAAGAGTATTAATAGGAAGGTAAATGTCACATCTGAAGCCCCCATTTGGAGGTCCAAGTAGAAAAATTAGAGAGTTTATTATTTTCACTACATAAAGACTTAGCTTTTTATAGACAACAATGGGAAAGCTCGATATGGATAGATCAATGCAAACAAGAGATATTGAGGGAGCTTCTCCAAATAAGTTCTCTCATTTTCATAAATAAGTATGATGTATATCAATATTCTAACTCTAAAGACAGCATGTCTGAGATTCTTTGTAAGACATTTATATAATTCTCCCTAGCAATGCCGTACAGAAAGAGAACAATCTCAAGAGATAGGTCTTTAAGTGTTGACAAGAGCAAGCCAAACCAGGTTCTTAAAAATAATGGAACTCAGATCTTGTCAAAGTATAAATAAATCTCCGAATATTCAGAATACAATACATATCAAGGAGGATAAGAAATACTCCCAAAGAAGAGAAGGAAGGATGAAATCAGAAGCAAATTTAGCTGATAAGTCACAATTACAGAAGAAGTTAGCAAGTATTGGTACGAATTTGGAGATAAAGACAGGCTATGATGATATGGTTTATTCTAAAACTCCTAGTTCAAATCTGCCAAAGATATCCAATGGATTGGCAAAGGGAGGGTTTTTAAAGGAAAAGATTAACTCCATGTATAAAAAGTCTATTCCTAACTCCAACCTTCTGAATGCAGCAGCCAGTGCTCACAAGGATGCATTAGTGAAGAAAATGAAGAAGGTGCACCTCAGTAGAGATTTTAGAGATAGGAATAGACTTCTTGACCCTCAAGTATCTCTTAATCCAAGCCCTTATAAACATAAAGCAAGTGATGTCTTGGAGAAATCTGTATTAATTAATAGTAACTTGTAGGTTTTGAAATCGAGTTTAAGACCGATAGAAAGACCAATAGAAACATATCTTCCAGAGGCTAGTAAAGGGGGAATACTTAGAAGAAGCGAGAATAGTCTTAATAAATTAGCAGCAAGCTTGAGTAACCACGTTACACCATCTAAAGCAGGTAAGTTAATTTTAGGAATATTATTAAATGGTTATGATTCGTGTTATGGTTTTGATTGTAAAATAGATTTTTATTTATCGTTTTGGATAGAATTTTAGTATGATATGAATTAGGAGCAAGAAAGTATTACATACTTCATCTGATTCTACACAGAAAGTCTCATACATTTATTATTCATCTGATACCATACTTCAAATACTTCATCAACCAGCTAGATCAATAAAACCAAAATTTCATTCGAACTTTCAATCCACTAAAATATTCTCTTTCCAAGTAAAAACCCAAATTTCCTACCCCAACCCCCTTAATCCACCCCAAAACGCCTTTCTCTCTCCAAATCCCCTCACCCAGCCCATAGCCCCATCCTACTCTCCCCAAAACCCCTCCTCCAACCCCCTCCATTCCAGGAACAAATCCTTCACAAACACCGGCTCCAGGAACAACTCCATGCACCACCTTGGCCACAACCTCCACGTAAGGTCTTCCAAAATCCCCTTGTTCATCTTTTTTTAGGCCAATCCGCAACCATTGCTTTCTCACTTGCACTCTTCGTTTCAGAAGACTCCGCTGACGAGAAGACATCCTCTGTTGTTCAAGAGTAAGTTTTAGGCGATTATGGTGTAGAGAGCAGAGTTAGACAGAATTTGTTGGCGTTACTAAACAAGCCCTTGAAGAACCCCATCGGGTCTAACTTTAACCCCATCAGTAATACTTTTGGGCCCTAAAGATTGCTAGAAGAGATTGTGCACGGATATAAATTTTGATTGATTTCAGTTTAAGTTACCTAAAGTGGGGTTTTGGGGTTTTGGGGTTTTGGGG